CATTTTCCGTCGGTCTTAGTGCACAATGTAACTACAGAAGAGTCAAGTTTTAAATATCGAAAAATATCGAAACACTTTGGTCATTTTCTTTTTGAGAAATGCTAATGGTCTTGTCCACTTCAATGATGTATGCTAAGCTATGCTAAAAGTGGTACCGCCAGAACCGGAGATCGGCTGAATGGATTCAAAAACGGTAAAACTCAACAGTTTAACTCTGGGGGAGTTGTAAAATGAGCCTATTTCCAAAAAAAGTGGAGAATCCCTTTAAAAATTTTGACTTTAACATTGAAAATTGCACACACTTCAGCTTTATAATTCAAATTATATTGCAAAGAATGTTTGATGGGAGTTTTGTGAGATTATTGAACTGGAGCTATGTGTGTGGTTGGTTTCACCATAAAGTTTTAATTTAGTGGTCTCAACTTTTTTGCGTCCTTTTTAGTGACACTACAAAACAAAAGTTTTGTTTCAATCTCTGAGCTTAAACTTTCATAGACCTTTCTCTGCTGAGGCTACATTCTGTCATACTTGTCTCCACCTCCCTCTCTCTTTCTCCCTCTTTCTCTCTATTGCAGCACTCAGCAGGCCAGGGCTGAAAGTCAGGCGTTTTGAAGAGAGGACGTTGAGAGTGAATGGCTCATTCACATTAAATAAGAATTAGAGGGCTTCCACCCTGCCACTCTTACAATGGTCAAACAGCCTGGCACAACAGGAGAACTGTTCACAACTGCTCTCTCTCTCACACACAAACACACACACACACTGAAAAGCATGCCCTTTGTGTCAAGGAAAAGAGGGTGTGGTTTTGTATCAAATAGATTTTCTGTTTTATTTTTAGATGGATAATATGATCTTGATCTATGCAGTACCGTGGCTCACCCAAAAAATAAAATTGTCATCATTTCTCCAAACCCATATGACTTTCTTTCTTCTTTTGGAACATATAAGAAGTAGTTTGGCAGAGTGTTCATGCTGCTCTTTTCCATACAATGAAAGTGAATTGTGACATGGGGCTTTCAAAATAAAAAAAATAAGCACTTTATAAGTATAATAATATTAGTCCAACTGTCAGATTTTATTCACATTGATATATATTAATTGTAATACTATAATATGTCACACCAGTGAGGCCAAATTTTTTATTTTGTGTCTTGCAACTGATGTGCTAAATTTGAATATATAGTCATGGTCAGAATTATTGGCACCCTTGGTAAATATGATCAAAGAAGGCTGTGAAAATACATCTGCTTTGTTTATCCTTTTGATCTTTAATTAAAAGAAAAACTCTCAAAAAAGTAACCTTTCATTGAAGGAAAACTAATGAATGTGGGTGGAAAATCCCATTGAGAAATAAATAAAAATTTTGGTACCCCTAGAAATTTCATATTTACAATTTTTCGCACACCAGGGTGACTAGGAACATGAAATTGTCCAGACATGACTTGATGTTTCACAGGACTATAAATATGAGGAAACACAAAGGCAAAATTCCTTTAATCTTTACAATGGCTATAAAAGAACAGTTCTGATTTTTGGAATAGCCTTTTTGGAGCTTGACAGCCCCTGCCCATCATTCACTTTTATTGTATGGAAAAGTGCATTGTGATCATCCCGCCTAACATCATCTTTTGTGTTTGACAGAACAAAGAAAATCATACAGATCTGGAACGACATAAGGTTAATTTTTGTGTGAACTATACCTTTAATATAATCGTGAAATTCTGTAATATGGTGACCTTTTCCCTAAAAACTAATTGGACTGAATTAGATATTTTTGTGTTAAGTATTTGTCTTGTGTAATATAAAATCAGGAATTTTGTACTTAAGTAGGCACTGAAGTCAATGGACTGGATTAGATTGTGTGTATGAGTGTGTATTATTTATTTTGTCTAGATCTTTCTTTAGGGGCTTTATCTGTTTTGCTGTTGGCGACAGTAATGGCTGTTTAATTACTCAATAAAAACGTTTTATGAATGCAGTCTGTGAGAGTGAGTCTGTGTGATGTATTGATTTTGCTGCTGGAGAAACCTGAGATTTTCACTTAAGGAAAAGTGACTCGCCTGTCGATGGGCTGCTGGTTTAAATAGTAGCCTATATGCATTTACACACAAGCACATGCAAAAATACACCGCGTAAGCATTGTTTAAAGAGACGCTACTACTGAACTAACAAATATTCAGTCAATGAAGTGAAGATTCCTTCCTCTAAAACCAGTTAATGAAATGTCTGCCTTTAAAGTATGGAACATTGCTTTAGAAGTGTGTGTGTGTGTGTGTGTGTGTGTGTGTGTGTGTGTGTGTGTGTGTGTGTGTGTGTGTGTGTGTGTGTGTGTGTGTGTGTGTGTGTGTGTGTGTGTGTGTGTGTGTGTGTGTGTGTGTGTGTGTGTGTGTGTGATGGGCCTTCTCTGGAGGATTTGTAGCCAGAGGGTATATTGGAACAACAGAAAGTCGTTCTCTAATGCACCAGCACAAAACCTTTTACACATAGAAAAGTACTAACACTAGATCAGCAGCTTTGCAGCTAATGGGATTGTCCAGGTTCTGTCGAATACAAAAAAAAAAAGATAGCATTTGAGAGAAAATTCCACCAAACCATGTTAATATTGGACTTTACAACACATCACATTTGGCTTTAGACTGGTGAGGCTGTAATGTAGGCAGGCAAGCCAGAGAATATTCATTTGTTCATATTTAACTAGCTCTCTCCATTATGAATAGTACTTTATCTTTGTCTTGTAGGGTTCTTGTGAAGAACCCTTCATGCACTGTTTTGGGAATTTCTGCACTCATCTCAAGAGGTTTGGCTGATGTGGTTTAATTGAGGCTTTATTTTAGATGACATGTTCATTCTCTAAGGTATAGTTTTACTCTTGCCTAGTCCTAATTACTGGTGTTTGCAATTGTTCATTCTCAGGGTGAGGAATTTAACAAACCCACTTTGGCACATATCTCGTCTCGTCAAAGCGTTTTTGCTAGAGACATGAATGGCACCTCAAGTCACGTGGCTTTTAGAGGACAGGTGTGCCATCACTTGTATAAGCAATTGGACATCCTGTAGCTCATACAGCATCGCATGTTGATAACCAATGCGAAATACATAAACTGATGAAATATATGTGGAATGGAATGTAAATCACTTTGGATAAAAGCCAATTGCATAAATAAATGTAGAATGTAAAGAAGAAAAGTCCCACAGAACAGATTTACATTGAAATATATCTGTAGAACAGAACATTTTCTATTCTGTTTTCATCAATCTGGTTTTGGTGAATTTACTGTGTATCTGTTTTTATAGAAGAGTGTGTCAGAAATAATGCTAAATAATAGACTACTATTATGTCTTGCTAGCGTCAACCATTAAAATAGAAAAAAAGCAATTAGAAAGTTGTTAAAAGACATCTTTAGCTCTTTCAGATCTGTTATTGATATTGCTTTCAATCTTTTTTTATTTATCTTCTTTTATCCTATCATTTTTCAACCACCTGTCTTAATTGCCATTAGTGTGATATACCCAGTATTGTAATTTGCTTTTGTTAGGTATCTGCAAAACTATATAACTTTAATTTTTAATAGTTAAAGCTATTGCTAATGTATTGAGTGTGAGTGACTTTCAAAGTCCCAATTCATGTCAGTTATAGTCCTCTGTGTGTGTGTGTGTGTGTGTGTGTGTGTGTGTGTGTGTGCAGTAAGTCCAGCCTTTTCCCATGAGAGAACACTGACTGACCTCAAGTTGCGTGTATCGATCAAGAGGATTTGCTGCTTAATAGAATTGAATGTAATTGGGCAGTTTTTAATTGAGATGGATAGAACATGTAAATTTTGCTCCATTAGTCCAAAATCAATATCCATCTGCTGTAGTATGGAGTCTCTTTCTTTGTTTTATTTTATTTTATTTAAAAAAAAAAAAAGGTTGTTTCTGGTGCACAAGGTTTTGCAAATCCACTGTACTTGCAAGGTCAGAGAAAATGTTATGTTTCTTTATTTTAGAAGTACTTTACTGTATGTAATATTTTATGGCTAAGGACATAATTTCTCTTTCTTTCTTCTTTTTTCCCTTCTCTCCCCAATTTCTTTCCCTCTTTACAGCCAAATTGGAATGCGGAAGTAAAGCTCTTTGTTTCATAAACTAAAATATTGGTCCAGTACTCTGCGTGTACTATATGTGTGAAGCTGAAATGACAGAGATACAGTATTTTTAGGGGTAACATCTGTTGTCGGGTTCAGTTGCTAATGCCGAGAGCTACATTATTGATCAGTCGTTATTACAGTATGCTGAAATATTATGTTCCTGTGTGGTGTGCGTGAGTCAATGAAACTGAGGAAGAGACAGAGAGTGTGTAATATGAGGTTCCTTGATTACATTAAAGAGCTTTTATTTTATTCACTTGAGATGAAGCCTTCTGGTGTATCTCAGTATCAGACCATAATGATATCATCAGAGCTATTCTGGATGTGTGTGTGGCAAGGAATCAAGTTCTATTAGTACACAGCTGAATTTAAACTTCACTGTTAATCTAAAGATCGCAAAACAGCTCAGATAGCTGCTAATGTGTGCTTAGAAAAAGGCTTTTACAATTCCTTTTTTGATTATCTTTCATTTTAATATTTTATATTATTAAATAAGTTTTGTCTTTGTCTTTTTTACAATATGATTATGCACAATTGGTCATTATCTGGAACTGCGGTTAATTAACCTAAATTGCTCACATTTTCTCTCAGTAGTGTTTTTCGGTAACAATCCAATATTGTGATAGAAATAAGGTAGAGTAATAAGTATAATTAGTGATCTTTTTTCTTTTTTTTTACAGAAATATATTATAGCATGTTTGCATATTGATTGGCAAGTTCATGGGCGGCACACTCTGAGGCTCTTGGCTGTAATAGAAATTCTATTTTTCTTTTTAGTTTTATGATGTTACTTATATTTCTGTTTTTGAATTTTTTTTTAAATTCCATGAGTTTGAATTGACATGAATTTGACTTTTTTTATTTTATTGGCAGGCGTGACCATGCAGTGGAGCCCTGAGCAGTCACAGTGGGCGGAGCAACACTATGACATCACCTCGACCACTCGTTCACCAGGGCATAAGATCGAAGCACTTAGGGATCCAAGGCTAACAGGTTCGACCTCAACTGCGGCGTACCAACATTCATGGGCAAACGATGACATTTCAGCTCTGACGGCTTCTAACCTGCTCAAGCGGTATGCAGAGAGATATTCTGCCATCCTGGATCTACCCTGTGAGAGTGGACTTATGGGATATCCAGACGCAGCCATCTCCGTTAGCATTAGGGGACCCGGTGTTGTGAATAACGGGCCCCCCCTTCTTAATGGACGGAAGGTGGAGGCAGAGCCCTGGCTGGAGAGCGTCTACCCTCCGTTGGGTTGCGTGCCCGAACTTCTTCCCAAAGCACCGCTCAGTGTGTCGGATGTGTCCGTCAGTGCGTGTAACTCACCAGTTATAGGCAGCGGGAGTCTTCCAGAATCTTGTTTCTCCAGCAGCAGTTGTAACGGTCAGTCCGGGAACCAGGAATACAGCAGCACTCCCTACAGCACTCCCTTCCTGCAGCCTGTAGGAACTTACGCAGGCTCTCTTTTCCACCCTACCCCTTCCCATGCCAGTTTAGTGTCAACTTACAGTGCTAACACCTCGCAAAACCTATCTGCATACAGTTACCCAAATCCCCGTTACCCCTCACAGGCCGTTCTTCCTGTAGGCTACAGTCCTCCCCCACCTCCCTCAGCGTACCTGCCTTCAGGTATAACTCCTTCTAACCCTCTTCCAACTGTGGGATACTCATATCTAACCACCAGCCTGGGAGGTAGTGTCTCTGAAAGTGATCCCCCAAGTGCTACCAACCTTTCAAAGTCATATTACCCATCAACTCAAAGTGAGATTGGAGTGTTTGAGGAGTTTGATTTTGGCGGAAACTCTAATTCGGACTCTAGGTCTGAAGGCAGCCCCCTCTACAGACCATCAGGAGATGACACGGTGGACAAGCAAAATGGGTTCAGCCAATCGGCGGATGAAACTTCATCTTTCAAGCCAGCTAATCACGGAGACACTTTAAGAAGCCTGGAGACTCTCACAGTAGCCATGAGCGGCCGGAACAATGGTACATCCGGACAGCACTTCCCATCTACCTCGACTTCTGTTGTCACTTCTCACCAACATCTCTGCCTTGATACAAACACACCCTGAGAGATTGTGCTCACACTCAAGCAGCAATGCTTGAGTTGATGAAGTGTGATTGCTTCCTCATAATGGATCGGAGGTAGAAAGGAGGGACTTGCTCAAAGCCATTGTGTCGGGGTTCAATGCAGGGGCCTCAAAATACAGCTGCATCGTGGGGAATTCTGTCCTGGAAGACAGCAGGAGTTTAGTTTCTCCTTTCTGGAAAGAGGACAATGATGTTGATGTCCCTCCTAGCCGAGCCTAACTGGTCATTGCGAGACAATGACCTCCTCACTCTGCTGGAATGGACAGACCAGTATATCCTCCATGATGGACACGCATATCTGAGAGGGATGGAAAGATTTCACTCCTCCATTCCGAGAGATAGGAGAGTACATCAAGGGAATTTATATGTCTAATGGATGTGTTGTGATTACCATGGAGACAAGGAGTCACGGTAACAGATGTGGAGGTTGGACACTAGCTACGTATGGTTGACCATATTGCCATGGTGTACATTCTGTGTGTGCGTGTGTTTGTGGCCTTGTAATGGTTATTTATGTGGTGAGCTTTAATTGTAAATCCTTTTGCCCCTTTTCCACGGGAGAGTTGACAAATCCTGGTTGTTTAAAGAGTCCATGTGTGTGAGTGTGGGAGAGATAAATAAAACCTCAGGAAAGTGTCTGTCAGTTAAATGGCGTATGCCTGTACTGTATGTGTAACAGAGAAGAGGGCATTTTCACATACCGTCCTTAGGAAAAAAAAAACAATTCAATGGACTTGAACTAGGTGGTCTGTTGGTAAATTTGTGTGCTCTTTCACAGCATTTTAAGAGAGTATAAAGATCTGTTGCTAGACATATTTGTAGAACGGATTATTCTACGAAAAATTATGCAAAACGTTTTTTTGCAGTTCTTTAGGTTGTTAAAGCTGCTGTGTGTAATGTTTTTCAATGAGAAATGATGTTCTCCTTTACTAGGTTAATATGCAGAGAAAAATGTTGACTTTCCAAAAAGTGTAAACACTGGCACTGTGGTGCTTTGTTTGAACCTACCAACACTGGCTTAACCATTGGTGCGAATTTGGTGGCGGGACTTCCTTTTTGTCCGACCAATGGAAGATGGAGAGAAATGTTTTATTTTAAACAATCTTTATTTTTATAATTCCATTTGATGCCTTTAGGGGCTAACAAAATTACAAACTGCAGCTTTAAAATTTGCTGTTCGATTTAAAATGTTTAGCAAATAACAGTAATTGTCAGTCATTGAGATATATTGTGCTGTTATGTCTATTCCACCAATTTTTGCTGTTGTCTCAAAAGATTTTGCAGGCTATCTTAACATTACTGCAGACATAAAAACAAATGGAATTCAGACAATTCAAGCTACTTCCTGAGATGGTCTCAGCCTGCTTGGCTACCAAAAATAAAACATTGCCTTAAGGGCCAAGTGTGAAAATGCTCAGCGAGAAGGAGACCACATGATTTTTGCGTGTTTGTCTTCACTTAAGGTTTTTCGCATTTTTAAAAATAGTGTTGTTTACTTTATCCCAAGCACTGGAAATAGGTTTGGCTGACCTCACTACAAATCTTTCTGTTTACTTCCTTTCGCTTCTTTATGAACCCCACGGGAATTAAGATATTATACTTATTTATTAAGTAATCACCAAAGCAGCTGTGTGGGAGCCAAATCACAAGGAAATGTTCAGCCAAAATGACTCCCTCTGTGTGAATACATTTTATTTCTGTGCAGTTTCAATTCAAGAGGGTGAATTGGCTTCATTTCAAGAGACAAATGGAAGGAAATCCTTGAAAAGGCTGCTTAAAGTTCTACCAGGTCAAAATTGAATTGTGAATTGAACCAAAATTGAATTTCCTCAGCTAAACTGAATGAAACAGACCTCAATCATGATGATGAATCTCACTGCAATGGGGCACATCAATGTATTGTTTCTATTATGTGTCTGTTCATAACTTTCCTGTTGATCACAAACTTTCAAACTAAAATTTTAGAATTATGTGAGTTATTGTATAAGTTTTCAGTGATTAGGAAATACACCAGTACACTTCTCCTTACACAACTACACATACTGTATGTATCATTGTCTAGATAAAAGCACAGTCATTCTTTACATTTTTTTTCAACTGTTTACCAAAAGTGCCATTTATATTTCTTTATTTTTAAAGAGAAATGTTTTCTTCCACATCATCTTTTATATTGCTGTCATTTGAAGAGATTTTACTGTTACCGGTTTTATCCTGGCTACAGCTTTTCCATTTGGGTTTTATCATTTTGAAAATTAGGCAATGTCGAATGATCAATATTACATCAGTTCCTGTTCTAACCATCTTTCATCTTATTAAAAGGGTTGTTTGGTATTAAAAGTAAGGCACTAAGTAACTTGAGTGGCTTTTTTTCTTTACAGATCTAGATTAAAAAATGTAAATCGTCTGTAGCATTCTATGCAAAACTCTCTTCCTAAACCTTGTGAGCGCACTCTTGACATGAAGGCCGTTCCAAAGAATAAGCAGCAACATTGTGCATTAAGAATTAATTTCAGCAAATATTTCATGCTATGTATTTAAGTTGTTAGCTTAGCAACACGCTAACATGAGTTGGAATCAACTGTGACTGTGAGTGTTGGTTGAGTCTCTCATGCTATTTGCATTAGGAATAGACTAATATTTGTGTCGCATGTAAGTGACCCTTTACATTGAAAAAATTTCAAATCAGTAATTTGAGGTTCCTTAATATGGAGGATTTTCCCAAAAGCCCAAATTTGGATTTTGTCTATGTAGGTATCCTGCTCACTGGGTTTTGGAACAAAGCTCTTGACAAACCTTTCGATTCTTTCCAACAAAAGATTTAAACATATTTGGCAAAATGTTGTAAGAATCCTTCTAAGATGTACCTAAACCCCTCTTATTCTTTGGGAGGATTTTTGTTGTTGTTGCTGTTGGAACTAGGAAAAGAGTGTGACTGCAGAATGTACTGTACCAAGTAACTGAAGTAATGCGTCATCAAATACTCCTTGCAGACAGCAAGGTGAGACTAGGGGCAATGGAATGAGAGATATTGAAAATTGTACATCATAAGCATATCTTTTTACCACTTTTACAACCATAAACAAAAAACCCAGGCTAGATACCTCTTAAATCCTGTAGTGTAATGGTGCACTAAACTCTCTACAATTGTTTTGTTATCACACAGCTGTGTTTGGTATTTTTGAGTGCTGGAATTGGTGTTAAAGGTGCATTAAAATCGCACATGTTTCACTATGTAAACACCACATTTAGTGGTTGGTCACTCTTTTTTTGCATTTCAAAATCTGACATTTTACAATGTGTGTTCTCAATATATAAAGTACAGTTACATTTAGAACTAAATTGTGAGTTTATTGCAGTCAAACCGAGAGAGTGTGTTGCCATATTCTCAATCGACTCTATTGTGTTTGTTTTCATGACTTTTGGAGTATTGTAAACAATTTCCTAATTAAATATGTTTATCTTAAGGCCCTGCTTGCTGTTTTCAATGGACCTGAATCTTATATGAGTTTTACTTTGAGAAAGCATTTAAAAACAACTTTGTTGCCCAAAGGCTTCACAATCATAAAAAGAGTGTATAAAAAGTATAAAAATAAAAGATAAAGAGCAATATAACAAAAAATATCATAACAATTACATGATCGTGACTAATCGTGCCTATTGCTCAAGGCCCCCTTCCAAAAGCTAGGTTAAAAAGATATGTTTTCATATCCTAAAAACCTCTATACTGTAGATGGAGCCTGCCTATTATATAGAGAGATTGTTCCACAATTTAGCAGCAACTACTGTAATAGCTCGGTCACCCTTTGACTTTTTCATAGCACGAGGGACTGCCACATTTGATCCGTCGATCTCAACGTCCTAGCCGATACAATCCTAAAAGATTACTGATATAAATTAGAGATGTTGTGAAGAGATGTAAAAACCAATAATACAATATTAAAATCACTCCTATTCTGAACTGGCAACCAATGAAGAGAGGATAAAACTGGAGTAATGTGATCCTTTTTTTTTTTTTTTTGTACCAGTCAGAAGCCTGGCTGCGGCGTTCTGTACTTTTAAAGGGCCAGTTCACCCAAAAATGAAATTTCTGTCATTAATTACTTACCCTCATGTCAATCCAAACCTGTAAGACCTTTGTTCATATTCGAGAACACAAATGAAGATCTTTTTGATGAAATCCGAGAACTTTCTGACCCCCAACATAGACTACACCATTATTACCCCTTTCAAGGCCTAAAGGTATAGTGAAAACATCGTTAAAATAGCTAAATGTGTGTGCTATTTACTCACTATTAAAGGATCTCACAGAGCTTAACTGTTTTGATGCTTTGTTTATTTTTCATTTATCTTTCAGTGGATTATATAACGTATAAATTGCAACGTAAAATATTACAGTTTAGATGGATATAACTGCAATAAATTTGTAGACAAAGGTGAGTGCCAGTATGAGTGTGTGAATGTCCAAGTGTGTTAACCCTGTGATGGACTGGCCATCCGTTCAGAGTGTTTCCCTGCAGCCCGAGATTCTGGGACAGGCTCCAGCATCACTTACGACAAGCGGTTAGGAAAATGGATGGATTGTTAATTGCAATATACATGCAAAATCAATACGTTTCTGTGGGCTGTAAGTGTTAAATTAGATAAATTTGTGCTTTTGCATTTTTCAGGTGTTTGTTGGTGTTAAACCAATGTGTGTAGGAAGATATCTTGCAGTGAGTTTTTATTTGTTCTCATAGAACCTAGATTTTTTTTTTCTTTTTTTCCTGTTACATTCTCTCATGGTGACTTATATGTTTTAATGGCTTGTTTTTTGTTTTATTATTCATTTCAAGTTAAATGTAATTTTCAACAATTAAAGTATGCAGGGCAGTAATTCCGTTTAAGAACCCTTAAATGGGCAGTCTATGCAAATTAGGGGAAATTGTGCAAAGGCAGAAGAGAGAAAGAAAAACATGAATAAATTATGCAAATAACAAAGAGACTTGACCATTTGAAAGCCTAAATTTCCAGTAATAAGCGCAGTGTTTCATTTTTTATTTTACCATGCGGTTATGAAATGACTGCTTCAGTGTGTGTGTGTGTGTGTGTGTGTGTGTGTGTGTGTGTGTGATGGATTTGACATGGGGTGAATGAACACAAACGACACTAAATGCCAGTGTGCATGTCTGTGTGTGCTTTGAGGCTTTGTGGATGACGGTACATTTGTGGGGTAATTATGCATAGTATTGGAATGAAGTTCAAATTATGTATCTATTTGTGTGTGCCTGTTTGTATTTTTTTCTTATTTTAACAGGCAACACTTTCTTTCTTTCTTTCTTTCTTTCTTTCTTTCTTTCTTACACCCTCATTTGAATGAAAGGCCAGAGTTGTTTAGTGAGTTGTTTTGTGTGTGTGTGTGTGTGTGTGTGACTCTATTTGTAAAAACAGTATTAAAATAAAGTAAATCAAGTTTTTTTAAATTATTATTATTATTGTAAAAATGATGAAAGTTTTCTGTGAGGGTTAGGGTGTGGGTTACAACTAGCTGTATATAAAAACAATAGAAGTCTATGCACTGTCTCCATCTTAATAATAAGTAAAATTACTTATTATTACTAATTACTTATGTGTGTGCGTGTGTTTGCATAAAAGCTACTTGCCGCTTACTTCACAGTGAACACATGAGGTTTCATTGTTCAGTCTTCACACTAGGTTACCCCAACAAATGCACCATAACACAGAACAACCATCCACCCATTAGCCAAAAATGTTTTTTTGACAATTAAATTAAACATATTTCTGTCATGACAACTCTCTGAGAGATTGGGATGGTAATGGATATGGCAATGTCAATATATTTGGTCTTGGCGGAATAAATATGCTACACTGCTGCTGCTGCTGCCGCAGAGCAAGTACAGAGACTTGCTACTGCCAATACATTCACAGACATTGCTGTGTAAGACATGCTGCTTCTGCACATGTACATGAAATAACTCCCCATAACAGATCTATACAGGTGGAGCTGGGGAAGCTGGAGGCCTGAATATCGTTAATATCAGCCTGTGCCTATAGTTTCATGCTAGAACTTGGTATTTATGTGCTTATCCATGGTTGTTTTATTTTTTAATGTCGTCTGCTAAGGCAATCATCAGTTTTATAAAAAAAAAGAAGCATTTTTCATAATGGACAGTGTTTTAACCTTCTTCTTGTAAAACAATCAGTCAGTTGTTGCATTTTAGTGTACAATTCTCATTCCCTGTTTTGGGTTTGGAGAGAACCACAAAACATAGTTTTACATAGTTTTCTTTAGAAAACGTAGCTGTAATATATAAATGTACAAAATAAAGTACATTTTTCTCAGATCTCTAAAAGCCTAAAATAAATATAGAAAAAGGCCTGACCGTCTTGGATTTTCATTTGGAGCTCAGAGGAAAAAGAGACAGACCTACAGCTCATCATACGGTCCAATCAGCTGCCCTGGCGTTTGATCCTTTTTTAATGTGCCTGAGTTGCAGGAACATTTTGTTCTAGATGAGGGCTGATAACAGTGATGATGTCTTCTAATCTCAGACAATT